GTCTAATACTGAGTCGATACTGTCTGGACGATAAGTCTAATACTGAGTCGACACTGTCTTAACGATAAGTCTAATACTGAGTCGACACTGTCTTGACGATAAGTCTAATACAGAGTAGATACTGTCTGGACGATAAGTCCAATACTGAGTCGACACTGTCTTGACGATAAGTCTAATACTAAGTCGACACTGTCTTGACGGTAAATCTATTACTAAGTCGACACTGTCTTGACGGTAATATAGTACCTCAGTGTGTAATATAGTACCTCAGTGTGTAATATAGTACTTCAGTGTGTAATATAGTACCTCAGTGTGTAATATAGTAATGTACCGATAAATTGCAGAACGCAAAAAGAGAGGTGACGGTTCGACAATTTACTCAGTGGAAACATGAAAGCTAGCTAAAAGCCGGCTTTTTCCATCATTGGAAACACAGTTAATGTGTTCAATTACAAACATAACCTTTGGTTGTTATCGTCTGCACTTTGATATATTCAACACATTGGATTTGGTATGTTGTGCATGATTAATAAACTACGACAAATACAAAAGAGAGTTTGAAATGAATCAAAATCGGCATTAATAAATGAACATAGAATTCTGTCTAACATCTTTCTTCTCTGAATATATAATCTGCTTCTATTATGTTTGAGAAATAAAAAAAAAGTTCTTGTGTTAGAAAATGGAAATATTATGCAAGGGGTCCACGAGCCTGTTTCTTCGTAAGCGAACGTAGCGGTGTACGCCAGTTGGTAGCCTGTATCGTCTGATACCACTTTGACTATACATAGCTGCTATGAAAGAATACTACCTCTTCGAAGAAAAGGAGAAGTCCGGGTGTCAGAGACTAGCCAGTGAGCGGAATTTTCTGTCGATCCTGATATCAACATTACGTGCGATTGGTTTCAATACATCGATCGCTTGGAAAAATAATAGGCCGAAAATATCAAACAATTTTTTAATGCAGTCGATTCATAAGGGTGTATAAAATCGTCGTTCATGTGAAGGGGCACACGGGCGAATTTTTCAGCGATTTTAAAATTCTCTATTATCAGGCGCAGAAATACGCTTGTGTGACCCTTGCACTACGTGATACGAGTTTATGGTACATCATGGAGTTTTTAGCTTGGAATCTAAAGCACAAAATTGTCATATTCATGTGATGATTGAAATGTAAATTGTTGAAATTTTGTGTACAATAAAGATTTGGATAAGTATACCATATAAACTGATGATGACAATGTTATTTGTGAAATTTGAAATTAAGACCATATGAATAGACAGTTATAGGGCAGAAAAACTAATTTTTAAAGTTTCAGTGTCGTAGAGAAACAGATATTGGTGTTTATATTGTGATATATTCAAGGATCATCATGTACTTCAACAACGTCACTCTAGTTCGTGTTATTTTCATGATTATTGTGATAATGAATACACTTACCAGCAGAATAATCAAAATGCCTCAAAATAGCGACAAGACTTTTACAGAATTCCATAACGTACATTATCAGAACAGTAAAATGATCTGGATTAAAGGTGGGAATGATGGAATTATTGGACTTTTTAATGAAACCCACCCTAACAATTATGTGTATGACATAGTTATAGGGGGTGGGGGAAACACGTGGACTGGAGTAAGATCGAAGACTAAAAAGTTTAAAACATTTACTTTAGATAGCTACTTTATGCTAGAGCATTTAAACCATTCTGGTTGACATGGAGTGAAGCGTCACTAGACGTTGAGTTGGGAGTCGGAAATCAGATCGGTAATGGAAAGATAATGCGATTCAAGAGAGATCCAACATTTACATTGAAATATCTAGCTCTTAATGATGGATTTGTTCCGGTATCCTATATACTCGAGCTGCAGTGTAACAAGGAAGACATTAACTAAATTAAATATTGTTATTTGTAGTTTTATGGAAATTTGTAGTTTAATTTGCACAAAGTTTTCCAAAAATGTGTAAAAGTTATTCGAAATTGTGCGATCGTTTTAAAATCACCATGTGCCAGCAAGCACCGTAAATTTAATGGGGCATCCTGTTTTTTGAAGGTGGAAAATCTTTTGCTCAAATTTATGAAAACCATATACACCAATATCCAGAGAAATGTATCCGAAGTTTTAAATTAAAAATCCGGCCGTTGAATTTTTAACGCAAAAACTATTCAAAAGTTTACGTAAACCTGTTAAAGGGGCATTCCGCCTTTTTCGTTGAACATTTTCATTATCAAAAACGTCGTAAATTATACCTGAAAAACCTGAAGGTCACGGGTTCAATCCCGGCATAGGTCGAGATGATTTTTCAACCCGGTTTACCCCTGTCAGTGATACAGGTAAGAGGGGCTGACATGGAAAAAGCGTCTAGTCATTCGGATGGGACAATAAACCGAGGCCCCGTGTGCTACAGGCTGTGCACGTTAAAGATCCCTCGACAGTTTGAAATCGAAAAAGAGTACGCTAATGCAGCTGTCCTGGCAAAATTTCCCTCATTGTACCCTGCATGGCGTCGCAGGTCTTCATTAGTCTACATGACCTGGTGCAGAAAAGTAAGAAGTAAAACTCCATACATTTCATTTCATTTACACCTGAAAATATTTCTAAATTATTCTATTTTTATCTATGTATCTACTTGATCAAATTGAATTTGTTTTAAAAGAGGTTAATTAAAAACTGAGAGTACTAATTGCTAATTAAGCATTTTAACCTAGTTTCTGTGAATGGCTTTATAATGGCTGGTAATATTTAGTGAAATCTTTAGAAAACGTAGACGACATATTTCTCTACAATTACTTTACTCAAATCCGTACAATAGTTTTCGAACGGCTTTCAAAAAGCATACTGAAGATAAAAAGGTTACCTTTTACGAAAAGTTTTGGCTGGAATTTTTTAGTTATAACTTTCAATATATCCAGTCATAATCCAGCCAAACACCAAAACTTGTCAAACTGCTTAATTAAAAATGAGTGCGCTCTGTTTTTTTTTTATCCTTATGAAACAAATTCCGTTTGATCTAAACAGCATTTTAAAGAAATATTTCAGGTATAATATATGACGTTTTTGATAATTAGAATTTCGCATACTGCCACTTAGCGTTTATGGTAAAATAGAGTATAAAGGAATCTGATTGGTTGCTAATAATGATGTGATGACTTACCCTAGCTTGTTATCAGAAACATCTAATTGTTTTAATTCCCATATTTTTATTTATTTTAAAGATATCAATACAGTTACAGTTAGCAAAATCGAAAATTCTAACTACTCTAGGGAATCGACTACAATCAGGTTTGACAATAGGGTTTGCTTTTGGAAGGTCAATAGAGTGTACATTTTTTCCTTTTTCAATTAAGTAAATGTATACCTAATGGGATTGTAAAGAAGTTTTCTTAGCACCAATTTGCACCATTCCAATTTTCAGCCAGATCCTGTGGTTCCTGCAATTACACAAAAAATAAGTGTTTGATCACAAACATGCTTTATCACACTTTGCGATTAGAAACGTGAATTGCAGGAACCAAAGACATCTGACTGAAAATTTGAATGGTGCAAATTCATGCTATCAGTGTCCTCGATACACATAATTTATTTTTAGAAAACATTTTTACCATCCCTTTAATTCCGAGAAGATATTTGTGTACGATATTCATTCCCTTTATGCGGTTAATACTTGCAATTATACGGTATACAGAAAAAAACTCCAAAATATTAATAAAGCATAATGTATTGGATACAAATTTCTTCTTAGTTCTAAAAGGAAACATTTTATTGTCAAATTACTATGAAATCTTTCTTTTATCAAAAATACACTGGAGTTTACGTAAACATTCTTTGTTTTGAACATCCCATTATCTGTAAATTATGGAAGCCGGCTGCGGCCATATCTACGATAAAGCGAGGAAACTCGATTTCTCGCCCACGAGAAAGAGTGGAAAAAGGCGAGGAAAAAGGCGAGGAAAAAAGGCGAGAAAAAGACTAGGAAAAAGGCGAGAAAGCGAAGGTAAAAAAAGACGAAGAAAAAGGCGAGAGAAAAGTCGAGAAAGCGAGGAAAAAGGCGATGAAAATTTTCCTCGCTTTCTCGCCTTTTCCCCCGCCTTTTGCCTCGCTTTCTCGCCTTTTTCCTCGCCTTTTTTACCCTCGCTTTCTCGCCTTTTCCCTCGCCTTTTCCCTCGCCTTTTTCATCGCCTTTTCCCTCGCCTTTTTCATCGCCTTTTTCATCGCTTTCTCGCCTGCTTGCCTTTTTCATCGACTTTTACTCTCGCTTTCTCGCCTGTTTCCTCGCTTTTTTTACCCTCGCTTTCTCTCATTTTTCCTCGCCTTTTTTTTTACCCTTGCTTTCTCGCCTTTTCCTCACTTTGCCGTGGGCGAGAAGTCGAGGGTAAAATGGCCGCAGTCGGCTTCCATAGCACATTTTATCATTGTTTAGTTTTCTTTGAGAGTCGGGCAAGTGGAATAAATTGTATAACTACAGTTTCAATCCGACAGTTTCACCATAGAATACATAGACTGATATATTATGAGTTTTTGGCTTGAAATTTAAAGCACAAAATTGTTATATTCATATGATGATTGAAATGTAAATTGTTGAAACGCTGTGTATAATATAAAGTTTGGATAAGTGTACCATATTAACTTACGATGACATGGTAATTTGGTGAACCGTTTTGGACAATAAAAGTAGGATGTTCTTTTTTGATATATTGTAAGAATTATTAGATATATTTGCAACATAATCTTAAAACCAAGAGAAACAAAAAGATATAAAGAGTTATACAAACACCACTAAGGATTGGTAAATTATTTGGGAGCCAGATTGAAACCATAGGAGTAGACAGTTACTGGGCAGAAAAACTTTCTAAAGTTTCAGTGTCATAGAGAAACAGATATTGGTGTTTATATTGTGATATACTCAAGGATCATAATGTACTTCAACAACGCTACTCTAGTTCGTGTTATTTTCATGATTATTGTGATAATAAATACACTTACCAGCAGAATAATCAAAATGCCTCAAAATAGCGACAGGACTTTTACAGAATTCCATAACGTACAGTATCAGAACAGTAAAATGATCTGGATTAAAGGTGGGAATAATGGAATTATCGGACTTTTTAATGAAACCCACCCTAACAATTATGTGTATGTAATAATTATAGGGGGTGGGGGAAACACGCGGACTGGAGCAAGACCGAGAGGTGACAACTTTGAAACTGTTACTTTCGATGGGTACTTTATGCTAGAGCCGGAACGGTTTAAACCATTCTGGTTGACATGGAGTGAAGTGTCACTAGACGTTGTATTCGGAGTCGGAAATCATATCGGTAGTGGACAGACAATCCGATTCAATAGGGATCCAACATTTACATTGAAATATCTAGCTCTTTATGACGGATTTGTTCCGGTATCCTATATACTGGAGCTGCAGTGTAGCAATGAAAACATACCCTAAATCAAATTGCTTTCAATATGTTACAGTTTTATGAATTTTTTTCGTGTAAGAAGACTACTGTACGGATATAAGCAAAATAAAGGGCTAATTGTAGAGAAATATGTTTCCTACTTATTCTCAAGGTTTCAATATATCCAGTCATAACCAAAACTTGTCAAACTGCTTAATTAACAATGAGTGCACTCATCTTTTTATCCTTATAAAACAAATCCAGTTTGATCTAAAACAGCATTTTAAAGAAATATTTCAGGTATAATTTA